GATTTGTGTTGGACAAGGTTCCTCCTTGTCTTTGCTCTTTCCCTTGTAGGGAACATGTCCAATACATGGAGCAGCATGATATCTATGTATTTAGCTTGGGGCCCATCAAGGACAATGCTACTATAGAGTTTTTGTTGGTTTGCGCCAAATCCTTTTCCTTCTGGCCATTTAAAATGTGGATGGTGCTTAGGCTGGCCCAGTGGTGGTTGCTTTGTTTTGGAGAATTTTTCTCCTTGTCTCTGCTCTTCCAATACATGGGGCAGCATGGAGGCTATGTGTTTCACCTAGGGCCCACCAATAACAATGTTTCAATGAAGTTTGTGTTGGGTCGCTCCAATTTTCTTTCCCTTCTGGCCATGTAAGATGTAGACAGTGCTTAGGCAGGACCAGTGGAGGTTGCTTTGTGTCGGAGATTGTTCCTCCTTCTCTCTGCTCTTCTTGTAGGAAGCATGTCCAATACATGTGGCAGCATAATGGCCGCGGTTTTCCCTGGACCCACCCATGACAATGCTCCCATGGAGTGTTTGTTTCTCCAATTTCCTTTCCTTCTGGCCATTTTAGATGTAGACCGTGCTTAGGCAGGACCAGTGGTGGTTGCTTTGTGTTGGAGATTGTTCCTCTTTCTCTCTGCTCTTCTTGTAGGGAGCATGTCCAATACATGTGGCAGCATAGTGGCCATGTTTTTCCCTGGACCCACCAATGACAATGCTCCCATGGAGTTTGTGTTGCTCCAATTTCCTTCCCTTCTGGACATTTTATATGTAGTGCTTAGTCAGGACCAGTGGTGGTTTCTTTGTTTTGGAGAATGTGCCTCCTTGTATCTGCTATTCCTGTGGGAAGCTTGTCTAATACATGGGGCAGGATGGTGTCTGTGTTTTAGTTCAGGGCCCATTGAGGACAATGTTCCCATGAGGTTTGGTTTGCTCCAATTCCCCCCCACAAATAACATACTAGCCGGTTAACTGGCCTATTTTCACCAAATTGCCCCTATCTTGTATATGAATATGGCGGGAACAATAAACACCGAGTCCCACTGGGGTATGGGGACAGATGTAAATGGTTTAATGTACTTTGTAATGCTATATATAAAAAAAAAAAAAAAACTAGCATTAAATAAATGCTGAAAATATAAAACGCAATAAAAGAATCCGTCCCGAGACACAGCCAGGTATAGGATACCGAAATGATTTGGACATTTTCAGTAGAGGTCCCGCGCCGGGGAGGTCTGTGTTTTTTATTGTCTCGGCGTTTCTTCTTGTAAAACGTTGAGCTAAGTGTGGGATTTTCCCAAAGTAAAAATAGACGCGAGACTACACCCAGACTTGACGGTAGTCGTTGCCAAGCTGTGTTTACCCTCCAGACAAAGATTACCGGCTGTTTATAGTCCACTTAAAGGTACTCTCCAGTTACCTAATACATTTTATGTGTACATAGAAACAAAAAAATAGTTTTTGGAATGTTTTTTTCAGTTTCAGCTGTATTGTATTGTTTACTATGCTATTTTTGACCACTTCTAAAAAAAACATGTAATACATGAAAATGGTTCTGTTGAGCACTATGTGTTCGCTAAGAGACTATACAGCCGATGCCGGCTCAAGGCTCACTTTTTTCTGATTTGAACCTGAAGGAAGAGTCATGGCTCCTTGTCCGGACTGGGATCTGTACCCACACCACTAGCAGTAGCAGATACGATCTACCTGTGGTCCTGAGGAAGACAAGCGTTCGAAACTCGTTGAGCCATTTCCTGTGAGTTTTGTCATCTTTTAGCTAAGGGACTATACAGCAGCTGCCGGCTTCGAGGCTCACTTTGATTGGAACCTGGGCTTCTGATAAAGGAGGCGTCATGGCTCCTTGTCCGGACTGGGATCTGTACCCACACCACTACTAGCAGATACGATCTACCTGTGGTCCTGAGGAAGACAAGCATTCGAAACTCGTTGAGCCTTTTCTTGTGAATTGTCATCTTTTAGCCAAGGTATATACAGCAGCTGCCGGCTTCGAGGCTCACTTTGTCTGATTGGAACCTGGGCTTCTGATGGAGGCATCATGGCTCCTTGTCCGGACTGGGATCTGAACCCAAACCACTAGCAGTAGCAGATACTATCTACCTGTGGTCCTGAGAAGACAAGCATTCGAAACTCGTTGACCTTTCCTGTGAATTGTCATCTTTTAGCTAAGGGACATACAGCAGCTGCCGGCTTCGAGGCTCACTTTGTCTGATTGGAACCTGGGCTTCTGATGGAGGTGTCATGGCTCCTTGTCCAAACTGGGATCTGAACCCACACCAGTAGCAGATACTACCTACCTGTGCCCCTGAGGAAGACAAGCGTTCAAAAACTCGTTGAGCCTTTTCCTGTGGATTTTGTCATCTTTTTAAAAAGAATGATGTATAATTTAAATATGAAGGTCCCAGACTCATTCATACATACTAGGGTCAATTAACCTATCTTTGGAGTGTGGGAGGAAGCCCACGCAGGCACAGGGAGAACATGCAAACTCTAGGCAGGTGGTGCCATGGTTGGGATTTGAACCAACGACCCGAGTACTGCCAGGTGGAAGTGCTGACCACTCAGCCACTGTGCTTATATGGACATAAGATTGACTGATGAGTCGCTATGCATGTTTATCTGTTATTAAAGTGTTTCTAAGTCCTTGTGCCCACGGGACGTTTTTACAGCGGCTGTTTCTGGCTTTTGGCGTTTTTGTTTTTTTTCTCTACAGCCAGTAAACCCCCCCCAGCATGTTATCCTGTGTCCATGCACACATAGACTGGAATCAACGTTTTTTTTTGGTGGGAAAGAAACCCTGGACTAGAGGATTTATAGAGGAGTTTTTTAGCTGTAAAAACGTTCTAATGCTGAAAAATGTAGCAAACCAGTGTTTTTGGACTTTTATTGACCCCCCAATTTATTGTTCTGGTCAAAAAAAAAAAAAAAACGTTTAAAACCGCAAACGCAGCTAAACTCTAATGCAAAAAAGCTGAAAAACTGACTTTACATAGCTAACGTTACCAGCATTATCAAAACGTCCCTTGTGCGTGAGGGCTTTTAGCTGTAAAAATGCTCTAACGCGGTAAAACGCAGCACACCGGCGGTTTTGGAGTTTTTTTTGACCAAAAAAAAACCTCTAAAAACCACAAGTCTGAGAAAACCGTGCTAATCATGGGAAAATGTGGCAAAATGATGCTATATGCTAATGCAAAAACGCTAAAAAAAGCTGAAAAACTCACATTTTTAACATGACTTTACATAGTCAAAAAGACTCATGCTGAAAAACGCAGCAAACTGGTGTTTTTTTTGTACTTTTTTTTTTCTTTTGTTTGAGCAAAAATTTTTTTTGTAAAAAAAAAAAAATGCAAATGTAGAAAAATGCGGCCAAACGCTAATGCAAAAAATGCTAAAATCCGCTGAAAAGAATTTTTAACGTGACTTTACACAGCTAAGGCTACCAGCGTTATATAATTGCCCCCCAGGGTGCATGAAGTTTTTTTTTTTTTACCCTTCATGCATTCTATGCATGAAAGTAGGAAACCTCTTGTGTGCAGCTTTCTCTCCCCCCCCAGTCTTCCCATTACTTACCTGAACCCGATCTAGATCCAATGATGAGCACAAGAGCAGCGTCTCTCCCGCCTCTCTCCTTCCCCATTGGTCCAGAGACAACACAAGTGCCCCCAAAGCAAGCGACATGCTATGGGGGCACTCAGCTGGGGGGAAGGAGCCAGGAGCGCTGGCGGAGGATGTGCGCAAGAGCAGCGTCTCTCCCATCTCTCTCCATCCTCATTGGCTCAGAGACCGCATCGGGAGCCATTGGAGCCTATGAGAATGGAGCATGGTGCGAGGCTGGGCTGGCAACGGACTCACAGAACAGGGCTCTGGAGCTATCCTGCACGAGTGCCCCCAGAGCAAGCGGCATGCTATGGGGGCACTCAGCAGCGGGAGAGGAGCCAGGAGCGCCAGCGGAGGATGTGCACAAGCAGTGTCTCTCCAGCCTCTCTCCCTCCTCATTGGTTCAGAGACAGCAGCAGGAGCCAATGGAACCAATGAGAATGGATAAGGGGGCAAGGCTGGGCTGTCAATGAACTCGCAGAACAGGGCTCTGGAGATAACCTGCACAAGTGCCCCCAGAGCAAGCGGCATGCTATGGGGGCACTCAGCAGGGGGGAGGAGGCAGGAGCGCCAGCGTAGGATATGCACAAGAGCGTCTCTCTCCCTCCTCATTGGCTCAGAGACAGCAGTGGGAGCCATTGGAGCCAGTGAGAATGTAGCAGGGGGCGAGGCTGGGCGGTCAACAGACTCGCAGAACAGGGCTCTGGAGCTAGCCTGCACGAGTGCCCCCAGAGCAAGCGGCATGCCATGGGGGCACTCAGCAGGGGGGGGGGAGCCAGGAGCAACAGCGGAGGACCCGAGAAGAGGAGGATCGGGGCTGGTTGGTGCAAAACCACCACAGAGAGCAGGTAAGTATATTATGTTTGTTGCTAAAGGTTTTTTGTAATTTTTTTTTTTTTTTTCCCTCTGTGCTGTACCACAACTTTCTCCATACGTGTCCTTTAAAAGTCTGGGCCACATGTGTGTTTTTCTAGTGTATTGAACTGAACTGGCTGCCGATGAAGATGGCCCTTCACACAGGTGGAAGGATGGAAATGCCTGTGTGAATGAGGCTGTAGACTAAAATCTGCATGGAGTTTGCATCTCCTCCCTGTGCCTGCACTCCAAAGACTTGCTGGAAGGTTAATTGGCTTCTCCCTACATTGGCCCTAGTATGATAGTCTATGAGTGTCCCCAAGATGGCTGCCTTGCCCTCTATCTACTCCAACGGGAAGAAAAAAAAAGAATCATCCAAAAATAGGAGAATACTCTTTGGATACAATCCAGTTTGTATCACTTTTGTATCACTTTATAATTAATACTGTGCGCTATGTAAAGCGTAGACCCACCTGACCTGAAAGTCTTTCCAATAATTGGATTCATGAGGTTTTTTTTTTTCTCCATTGTATTCCTCAGGTTCAGGGAGACTTCGACAAGGTGGAGTTCTATCGGATGTGCTGGACTCTGTGCGCCAAGAAGCATCTGGTCAGGGGTCCCCTGTGTATCAGTGAGGACAGCGCCTTCAAGGTGTGGTGCATCTTTAATTTCCTGTCCGATGACAAGTACCCGCTCACCATCGTTCCTGAAGAGGTGAGTGCCGCAGGCTGCCCCCGGGGGTGCTTACCTGGTTCATTTTATACATAGCGCCATCATCAGGGTTGTTTCAGGAGTCCATGCTGCTTTAATGCTTGGGGAAAAAAATTTCATTATTTGATGGGCCTCCACCCTTTTTTCTTTAAGCTCCACCCTTTTGCCCCTGATCCTGACCTAACATGGTTGCAGAAATTCAAATCCGTGTGTTGTAAGAGGCAGTTCGGTTATGAGCTCCTGTTAGACCCTGTGTAACGGAACCGGACCCCGACTGCACTTGGGTACTTCCGTTATAATACCGCTTCCCTGTCCGAACACTGACCACGGACACCACCGCTGACCATACAAAACTAGACGACACCAATCTTGGAAGGAAATCAGGAAATAAACTCCTTTATTTTAACACAGGTACAAGATATATACATTCAAGGGAACATCCCCCTCCCTGCATAGTGACACAGGGCGGGGCAAATCACATCTAGCAACAAGAGACACATCAGCAGACACCCCCCCCCCCCCCACCAAGCCAATACACAAACACATACATCCCATAATAGTTTGCTCCCAAGCAAGACACACAATAGAACGTAACCACATGGCATTAAACAATGAACAACCCCCCACCTCAATGATAGGACAGATCACCCTGTACCCCTAACAGGCACAGGGTGACTTACACATAAGAGGGATATGGGGAGCTGAGATAGGGGTCTCCCCACCCCTCCGAAGTGAGCTGTGTCCCATGGGCCCCCCACCTAAAGTGACTCCTGTCACACCCTGCAGTCTGCTAATCGAAAGACTGAAGAGGAGGAAGAGGATGTTGTGGGTAGAAGAACTTCAGAGTCTTGTGAGGGACTCCTCTCTGCATCTTCTGCACCCTTCTCCCATAGGTTTTACCCAAGGCTGCTGTTAGAAACCATGGGGCCCCATACAGCCAACCTGACAGCTACCCCCCCCCCCCAAACCAATCACTCATTGTGTTCATTCAGGAAAGGATGGGGCTGGTAAATGTGACATATTTACTGGACCCATCTCCCACTCTCCATCCTGAAGGATCCTATGGTGTGCTTGCAGCTGCGGTGGGAAGGAGAGGAGGGAAGCCACAGGGGAGTAGGCACACAGGGGGGCCTGGGGCAGCAGGGGGAAAGGTATTGGTGCACAGGGAGGGTGATGGGTGCAGCAGGGGGCAATTACTGGAACCGCTCCCCTGTATGGCTCTCTTTGCAGCAGCTGAAAGCCAGATTGGAACCGATCACTTATTGTGTTCATTCAGGAAAGGGGCTGGTAAATGTGATATAATTACCGGACCCTTCCCCCACTCTCCATCCTGAAGAATCCTATGATGTGCTTGCGGCTTCGGTGGGAAGGAGAGGAGGGAAGCCGAGGGGGAGTAGGCACACGGGGGGCCTGGGCAGCAGGGGGAAAGGTAGGGTGCACAGGGAGGGTGATAGGTGATGGGGGGGCAATTACCGGAACTGCTTCCCTGTATGGCTTTCTCTGCAGCAGCTGAAAGAGGGGATTGGTTCCAGTTATTAGCCCCCGCCATGCCGAGTACCCCCCCCCCACATGTGGTTCTCCCAGCTGCCTGGGCCCCTTGCTGGCCTGGGCCCCGTGCAGGAGGGCTGATGGTACCTCCTTATCCACGGCTCTGGTTTTACCCATAAAGATGCAGAGTTGGTCATACGAGGCAACAAAAAATTATAACATTTACACAAAGAATACATTTTTCCTTTTGTGCGTCTCCTTGCCCCCTTTCCAACTCAAGGCTTTGGCCTCCAAATGTGGCCCTGGATCTATATGGTCACACAGTTCCATTCTCATATATTTGAGAAAGGAGGAGCGCCTGGTGTCCGGAATAATGCGACCCTTGATGGGAAAATACAATCGCTTAGTGAAAGTATAAAAACGTACAGCTTGAACCAACGCGCTTCGGGGGTATTGCCTCCGCCTTCTTTAGGGCTGAAATATGACCATAAAGGTGTACAATGAGTATCTGCAGTAGGTATGCTAAGTATAGGTATCTAGAAATGGGGTAAATCTAAATAAAAAAGGTGTATATATGATTGAAAAACGTGTAAGGATGATCAGATAAGAACTTTTAAAAAGAATATAGTCAACATGAAGATTTTGTATAGAAATACGACCAGAACATTTGCAAACCGCAGAATCCCAGCACACTGGGCAGATTCTAAACACCATAATTTTGCCATGAGGACTTGGTTTCCCTATGGGGAGCACAAAGATCAAATTCCTAACCCTGTCAGACCAGAAAGTGAGAAGGGCCCTTGCTCACCAATGACCATAACGTCTCCCCCATCTAACCATTCCCAATCCACAACTATGTCCTCCATCCATTTTTCTGATCATCCCTATGGGGAACACACAGCTCAAATTCCTAACCCCGTCAGACCAGAAGATAAGGACGTCTCCTCACCAATCACCATAACTCCACTAGAAACAATCACCGACGGCGTGTATTCTCCCTCATCTAACCAATCCCAATGCACAACTATGTCCTTCACCTATTTTTTTGATCTTCCCTATGGGGAACACAAAGATCACATTCCTAACCCTGTCAGGACAGAAGGTGAGAAGGACCCCTGCACACCAATCACCATTACTCCATTGGAAACAATCACTGACGGCTCATCTTCTCCCTCATCCAACCATTCCCAGTCCACAACTATGTCCTCCATCCATTTTTTAGATCTTCTACAAGCTCCACCACAATCACGATACACCCTCCAAAACAACTCAAATGTCCCCCAGAAGAGATTGACATCCTATCTAGTTGTATAACGATGGACTTCAAAGCCAAGACCTTGGTCACAGCTGATCTTAACAGACTGACCAACTACTTGAGACACACAACCAACAATCTAAGTAGACAGGAAAGTGATAAGGACCCTCCACACCAATCACTGTAACTCTACTAAAAACCATCATTGACGGCCTGTCTTCTCCCCCATCTAACCATTCCCAATCCACAACTATGTCCTCCATCCATTTTTATGATCTTCCCTATGGGGAACACAAAGATCAAATTCCTAACCCTGTCAGACCAGAAGATAAGGACTCTTCCTCAGCAATCACTGTAACTCCACTAGAAACAATCACGACGGCCTGTCTTCTCCCCTATCTAACCATTCCCAATCCACAACTATGTCCATCTATTTTTGTGATCTTCCCTGTGGGGAACACAAGGATCAAATTCCTAACCCTGTCAGACCAGAAAGTGAGGACCCCTGCACACCAATCACCATTACTCCATTAGAAACAATCACTGACGGCTCATCTTCTCCCTCATCCAACCATTCCCAGTCCACAACTATGTCCTCCATCCATTTTTTAAGATCTTCCTACCAGCTTCACCACAAATCATGATACAATCTCCAAAACAACTCAAATGTCCCTCAGAAGAGATTGACATCCTATCTAGCTGTAGAACGATGGACTTCAAAGCCAAATCTGAATGTTACCCCGCACAACACAAGGGCAACTTCAACTCCACCTTCCAGATCTTGGTCACAGCTGATCTTAACAGACTGTCTAAATGCTTGAGACACACAACCAACAATCTAAGTAGACAGGAAAGTGATAAGGACCCCTCCCCACCAATCTCCGTAACTCTACTAGAAACAATCATTGTCAGCCTGTATTCTCCCCCATTGAACCACTCCCAATCCACAACTATGTCCACCATCCATTTTTCTGATCTTCCCTACAGGGAACACAAAGATCAAATTCCTAACCCCGTCAGACCAGAAGATAATGACTCTTCCTCATCAATCACCGTAACTCCACTAGAAACAATCACCGATGGCCTGTCTTCTCCCCCATCTAACCATTCCCATTCCACAACTATGTCCTCCATCCATTTTTATGACCTTCCCTACGGGGAACACAAAGATCAAATTCCTAACCCTGTCAGACCAGAAAGTGAGAAGGGCCCTTGCTCACCAATCACCATAACGTCTCCCCCATCTAACCATTCCCAATCCACAACTATGTCCTCCATCCATTTTTCTGATCATCTCTATGGGGAACACACAGATCAAATTCCTAACCCCGTCAGACCAGAAGATAAGGACTTCTCCTCACCAATCACCATAACTCCACTAGAAACAATCACCGACTGCCTGTATTCTCCCCCATCTAACCATTCCCAATGCACAACTATGTCCTTCACCTATTTTTTTTTTTATCTTCCCTATGGGGAACACAAAGATCACATTCCTAAACCTGTCAGGACAGAAGGCGAGAAGGACCCCTGCACACCAATCACCATTACTCCATTAGAAACAATCACTGACGGCTCATCTTCTCCCTCATCCAACCATTCCCAGTCCACAACTATGTCCTCTATCCATTTTTTAGATCTTCTACAAGCTCCACCGCAATCACGATACACCCTCCAAAACAACTCAAATGCCCCCCAGAAGAGCTTGACATCCTATCTAGTTGTATAATGATGGACTTCAAAGCCAAGACCTTGGTCACAGCTGATCTTAACAGACTGACCAACTACTTGAGACACACAACCAACAGTCTAAGTAGACAGGAAAGTGATAAGGACCCCTCCCCACTAATCACCGTAGCTCTACTAGAAACCATCGTTGATGGCCTGTCTTCTCCCCCATCCAACCATTCCCAATCCACAACTATGTCCTCCATCCATTTTTTTAGATCATTTCGACTAGCTTCACCACAATCATGATACACCCTCCAATTCAAAACCCAAAACCCCAGAAAATCACACACTTCTTCAGAACTCTAAATGTCAACACACCGACACCACCGAAGGAGATACAGAGGAGGAACTAGAAAAAGAAACAACAAGAAACCACAACAAGAAACACAGGAAACAGTAGATCCACTTAAAAACTTTCAACTGAGGAGACACTTCTTAGAAAAGGTCTCAATTTCTGCCTCATAACCAAACCAAGCAATTTAAACTATTTATAGATCTACAAAACTACATAAGGAAACTCGCCCTCCAG